TTCCAAAGAACAAGGGTGGGTTTGAACTGCCAACTTTGCAGTTAGCAGTCCAGTGCTTATCCTACAGCATCACACTAGGACTTCTAGCCAATAAAGGTTTGATAGTGGTGGTGGTTATGTGCCGTGGAGTCGGTTCCGACTCATAGCGACCCCTGCATAGGGTTTCTGAGGCTGTAAATCTTTACAGGAGCAGAAAACCTCATCTTTCTTCTGCGGAATGACTGGTAGTTTCAAACTGTTGACCTTGAGGTTAGCAGCCTGACTTGTAACTACTACTCGTTTAGTTCCCTAGAAACACACAATGGTAATTAAATGTTGTTTTTTTAAATTGTGAGTTGAGTGAAGGTTTCTAGAGCAGATCATCAGTTTTACATTCCACAAATCATACACTTTGTTTCATCTCAATGATTGCAGTCTCCTCCATGGAATATCACCTATCCCACTTCCTCCTGTGATTCCTGTTTCCATTCCTTCTTCTTCCCCAATTCTTCTGAATTTTGTCCATAGGTAAATGCTGTCCTTTTGATCTCAAATGGTTGATCATTCTATAGTGTGCTTACCTCACTAGTGTTATTGTTGCCCCTATATACCTGTCTATTGCTTGGCTGCAAATTGAGCCACAAGTGTGAGTTCAGTTCCAGATTTGAAGGCTAATCAAGGGCCATATTCTAAAGGTTCCTCCAGTCTCTTTCTGACCAGTATGTCTGGTCTTTTTACAATTTTGAGTTTTGTTCCACATTTTCTCCCACTTTATTCAGGACCTTCTAATGTGATCCCTTTCTGAGCAGTTGGTAGTGGTAGCTGGGCATCATCTAAGTCCTCTGGTCACAGAGTGGTGGTGACTGATGTTCACGTGTTCCATTAGTCCATTGTACTAATTGCTTCCAAGTATCTTCAATTTCTATCGTGTTTCTTTCCTCTGGACAGAGAGAGACCAATAGTTGTACCTTAGATGGCTGCTCCGAGTTTTTAAGACCCCAGTCATTATTCACCAGAGTAAGTTGTAGAACATTGTATCTGTGGACAATGTTATGCCAATTGACCGTGGTATTCTCTGAGACTGTGGTCCTGAGCCCCCATGCCCAGCAACTCATTCCCTCCAGGTGTTTGGTAATGTCTATAAAACTTTCATAATTTTGCCTCCTGTGGTGCTATAGGATAAACACTGGACTGCTAACTGAAAGATCAGAGGTTCAAATCCACCAGCCGCTCCTTGGAAACCCTACACAGAGTTGCTATGAGTTGGACCCTTAAAAACAACATGCGCCAACACATTCGTGGATACGTTTGCAGCAAAGGTAAATAAATACCCATGTATCCTCTATTGAGCCTTTATATATTTGTGGGTATACTCCCAACTCTCCCTCCCACATCTATTCAGCCTTTGTATCTATCCATATATCTACCTGTTATTGTTGTTGTTAAGTGCCTTCAAGTTCGTTCTGACTCATAGCAACCCTGTATAGGGTTTCCAAGAAGCAGCTATTGAAGTTAAACCGACGACCTTGCAGCTTAAACTGACCTCTTGGTCCTATGCATTATCCTATAGTGCCGCACCAGTACTTTGGTATCTACCTGTAGACCACCATTACTGCAGGATTGTGTATAGAACAGTATTTACCTCTATTCCCTTTAACTCTTACACTCCTCCCTGTGTCTTCCCTTGATTTCATCATTTTTCTGCCAACCTCCTTGTTGGAAATTAAGCACATTTTTGTTGAATGTCTGTCTCTTCCACACCATGAGGACAGGAGCTTTGTCTATTTTTGGTCACTGGTGCCTCTCAAGTACCCAGAATGGTATGTGGCACAAAACTGAAGTACAATAAATGTTTGTTGAATTAATTAGGGATTTGGATGTCTGAAGTTTTATCTGCCTTGTTCACTAAAACCTGCTCCATCCTGGATACAGTAAATGCTTGAAAAACGTGCTGAAAGAAGAGAATCTGGATCTTGTCTACTAATTTATATGCCTATCACACTGTTGAAGACGTAGTAGAAATTCAATACATAGTTGTGATTGATGGATTAGAATTGAAGCATAGTCAGGCTTGCTACTGAACTTTTTATTATCATCAGTACAATTCTTCCCTTCATGACTGAGAATGGGTTACCAATTTGTTTGAACCCACAGGACAGAAACTTTCTACAGTAGCTGAAAACTATTTTTTTCCTTTTACAACCTCTGATTTTTCAAGGGATGGAAATATCATCTCTGAGGGGAAAGAGAATGTAAGGAGTTGGCTTGTGCTATGGTAGAATAAACTCATTACTTGATACTAAAGTAAAGAATAGAAACTTATCCCTCCATCAGAAGCCACTGGAAAACAGTTTAGTGATGGTTATAACCTTGCAATATACATGTCGTCCAGACCTCCTCCTACTAAAGCCTCTCTAGACCTGCTTTCTCTTCATTCTTATTGTAAGAAATCAGTCTTGACTCTTCAGGCAAGAAATTCATGGTATTCTTTTATAAATTACAGATACTTACCAGAAACTGAAGTCCAAATAAGTTAGGTCATCAGTGAGAGGATTTCAAAGTGTGTCTAACCCTGTACCATATGGATGGCAAGACAGCTAGGAATTAGAGAGCACTGAGGAACTACTGGAGAGAAAAATATCCAGGAATGTCAGTCAGATACACTTTTCTCCTCATCTTGAAGTTTGGGAAATTCCTTCTCACGCAGTCCGATGTCATGCTGAGTCATAAAAAGAAGTGCTCTTCAGGGCCCCAGATCTCTGGAGGCCCTTCAGCCTGCCTCTGTTAGTCATTATTATACTCATGGGCTTGGCGCCAGTGCCATTCACTGCAGCAGAAGAACTGAATTCCTCTAATCCCTATGCTCCTTCTCCGACATCTCTCTAAGACTCTCCTCTGAGGGAGGATCTGCTATCTCTTTAGGGATAGTATAGCTTTAAGGAAATTTTTGGCAGATAGAGGCATCTTAACATCTGGGCAGTGTTAACAGAATCCCAGAGGCCGGACAGACCAGGAGCCACTCGTTCTAGGAATGTTAAAGTAGGAGTTTCTTCTGACCAATGAAAGGAGCAGAGAAGGAGAAAAAGGATATAGAAGGAGAGCACACAACCCCCAATTAAGACAGGTAAGATCTGTTACTTACAGTGTCGAGGGTAAGACCCCTCCACAATATATTCCCTCAGTAGAGAGAGGGTGGTAGTAGACTCTGAATTTGGGTAGCATGACTATTCATTGCAGGGAGTGGGGGAACAGTTCTTTTATGAAATGGATCACAAGCTGCTTTTCATTTGTGCTGGAACCTGGATGCAGACTATGGGCTCACTACCTTCTCAGCCCACAGTGGAGGGATAGTTGACTACGACTACGGTGAGATGAATCAAGTGTTCAATCTGAGATTAGGAAGGAAGTGAACAGGGGAGGGTCACAGACACAGAGTACTGGGTCTGAAAGAGGAAGCCCCTGCTCCTAAACAAAGGAACTGGATTGAGAGGCTGGATGTGGGAGAGTGGTCAGTGATTAGTTCTCCAGCTGTTTTTGTTCCTGGGTTTCTCTTTAAGCCCTTCTTTCTCCTCCTTCTGTCCCCTTTCTGTTTCTTTCAGTTCTGTGGGATTTTTTTTTCTTTCCTAGCTTCTTCTCACCTCTTTTTATTTATTTTGTTTTCCTCTCATGTCCTCACTCTTTTTCTCTGTTATTCTTCCTTGTTGTTTTTGAGTGCAGATGAGTTGATTCCAATTTATAGAGACCCTGTACAGGGTTTCCTAGGAGTAGCTGGTGGTGGGTTTAATCCACTGACCTTGTGGTCTGTAGTCCAGTGCTTATCCTACAAGACCACACCAGGAATCTGCTTCCTTACCACCCTCTAAACAAAACTGAAGTCAAGCAGCAGTGAACTGGGAAATATGAATGTTTTCCTTCTTGGACGTCGTATGTCCCTGAGGGACTCTAGCAAGAATCTGTCATTTTTTTGTGTCTCCCCTAAGCATAGCATTTCATTGAAAGCATGTGGGTAAATGGGTGCTTGCAGATGCAACCAGAGGCTGGTTTATCCCAATGGGCAGCAAGTTTAATACAATCATTTACTAAATATGCACCCACTGGAAACCTCAAAACTCAACCCATTAGAGTGAGGGCAGAAAAGGAAGTGAGAGGGCAATTGGAGCTTATTCACCCTTTCTGCATGTATCTCAGTTAGATCTTCTCTAATCTCGCTGGCTTCGTACAGACTCAGCAGTGTAATACTGGAAGGTTGGACTTGAAAACCAGAAGCCACCACTAAACCACTAATCCTCAAAACTCAAAATTCAAAACTAAGAACTGTTGCTGCCTGAGAGACTAGAGAAAGGAAACATCTAATTCTGTCCAATTTGAAGTTGACAATCCAGTATACACATACACACACACACACACACACACACAAAGGGGCTTCAAAAAGTTCATGAAAAAATGGATTGAAAACGGAATTTTTCCATGAACTTTTTGAAGTCCCCTCGTATATCTGAATATATTGATTGCTACTCTATGTGCCAGGCAATAATCTGTTCTATGAGGTAGAGAATATATTATGATTCCAATTTTGTAGATGAGGAAACTAAGGTTCAGATAAGTTAAGGAATCTTTCCAAGTTCCTATAGTTAATATGTGAAAGAATTGGATTCAGATCCAGAGATTTATGTCATTCCAGAATCCAAATTCTTCCTGGTCTTGGTACCTCAGTATCCTTCCCTATAACTTAGGCCTTGGAACTTTCACATCTGATATCACCAAGGTCAGGTGAAGACTGATTGTCTTAAGTCCTGAGAGGAAAGAGACCATATATAAATAAACAGAGTCTTGTTATTCTAAAATGTCTTGGGGGTTGGGAGGTGGAATGATTATAACAGATTTTCATTAATTTAAAAATCTCTTTTCTTCCTTGAAGATCCCATCCCCTCACTTTTGGAAGTTCACTGCTGATTACTGGAAGTCATTTTTCTTTGTCCGCATACCTCTATTCCTGCTTCCCTAAACCCCTCCTTTCAAGGATGGTCTGTCAACTAATTCAAGGAGTATTCTCTCTGCTGCTCTTCCTAACTCCAGCAGTAACAGCAACATGGTATGCAGGTAAGCATTAGAAGTTGTTCATTATTTCCAGGGAGTGCAGGGCAGGGGCAAAGACCTTATAAAAGGAAGAATAAAACTGCAATAAGAAACACTCAGATTAGACACAGAGAAGAACTATTCTAGACATTTTAAAAATAAAAATGATGACCTTCACCCAGTTCACAATAAAAAGGTTTTTTTGTTGTAGTTTTCATTTAATTAAACATTGCAACAGCCTACAGAGGGAAGCTTTTGAGGCCTTGGTGGCATAGTGGGTTAAGCACTGGGCTGCTGACCGAAAGATTGTCAGTTCAAATCCACCAGCTAGCTGCTCCAAAGGAGAAAGATGAGGCAGACTGCTTCTGTTAAGATTTACAGACTCAGAAACCCTATGGAACAGTTCTACATTTAACTGTAGGTTTGTTATCACTTCGACAGCAGATTTGATATGGTTTTTTAATCACTGGTGGCACAGTGATTAAAATGCTCAACTGCTAGCCGAAAGGTCTGTGGTTCAAACCCATAGGAATAAGATGCGATAGTCTGCTTCCATAGTTATTTCAAACTTGGAAACCCTATGGGGCAAGTCTACTCTGTTCTATAGGTTTGCTATGAGTTGAAATAGACTTGAGTGAAATGGGTTTGGGTTGTTTAACAAGAGATATTTAAAAATAGTCTAGACTCCCACAAAAATGAAAAGTTTGAATAAGATGACCTTTGTGGTCATTGTCTTACCTGCTTTCTAAAAACCAGTTTCTAATATTAATTCCTTTATGGGTCAAATCTTAATATTCTTTTCAAGACCACAAAAATAGTACTTGAGCCACATATCTCATTTGGGAAAAAATAAGGGAGCAAGGCAAAAGGCAATATTTTTTAAGGGAAACAAGAATCAATTTCTCTCTCTGTTGTTCTTACTTTTGGGGTTTCTCTCTTTCTCCTTTCCCAGGCCTTATTTAGAGGATGAGATTTTTGTAGCCCCTTTCTGTTAATCTGCCAAAGATGTTTAAGGCAATACAGATCACATTCTCTTAAACAAGAATTCCCCAGTTTCTTCGGGGTTGTTCCTTACTTTAGTAGAGATGGAGTTTTCTGAATATATCACCCTTCTCCCCTGGAGACATGTTATTGTTGTTGTTGTGTGCCTTAGAGTGGATTTCTACTCATATGAGTGCCTGGAGACATAGGGAGTTGAAATAACAGACTCAGTGAGGAGTGGGGAAGGGAGAGGAGGAGGGGTGATGGAAAGATAATGAAGTGGCAGACAGGGGTTTGATGGGGCCCCACTGGCATTCCAAGTGCAAAGAATATTCTGTGGCCTTCAGTATCTACCCTCACAGGGGTTTGGGGGTGGGCGGTGGGGCGGGTAATAGAGGAAGGAGACAGGCCCAACCAATGGGGTTAGGAAAATATCCAGAGATGAGTAAATAACAAATTGCTCCCATCACAGCCACAGTCATTGCAACTAAGATTTTCCACATGCCCTTCGCTCCTCATGGAGGACTTTGGCAGTAGCTCTGTTTGTCTGGAACAGCTGCATGAAACTTTCAAATAAATATGCAAACTTCTTTCCCTCTTTGGTTTAACCTGACTTGGTAGGGGGGAAAGCACAAGGCCAACACTGAGATGAAGGAATTTCAGTCAAGCCCTTGGCAGAGTACACACTGGGGCTAAAGGAGCCCCAAATACCCACGAGAGAATATGTGCAACTGTCTTGCTTCTTCTCCTCCTTGCTTCAGTTCAAGTACATAAGAACAAAACCCATCCAGAGACCATAGGGCTAGGGAATGGAGGTTAGATAGTTTATTGCCTAATTTTAAACACCTGTGTGATGCCACAGGCACCCTAGTAGCATGATGGGTTACTCATTGGGCTGCTAATCACAAGGTAAGCTGTTCAAATCCACCAGCCACTCCATGGAAGAAAGATGAGGCTTTCAGCTCCTGTAAAGATTTTCAGTCTTGGAAACCTTATACAAGGTCAGCACTGTAGGATCAGCACTGGACTGCAAACCACAAAGTCGGAAGTTCAAACTCACCAGCTGATCTTCAGAAACCCTATACAGGGTCACTATGAGTCGGAACCGACTAGACAGCACTTAACAACAGCAACAACATGAGTCAGAACCAACACAATGGCATGCAGTAGCAGCAGCAGCATGATACCTTAGGGACTACAAAGACTTTTACCTTTCCTGGATGGAAACCTGAGCAATTGGAGTCTTAAGGAAAGGGCAGTTTTTAAAAGCCTAGGTTCTTTTGAGGTTCTCAAAGGGCTTGTAAACACATTCCCCATTTCCATAGGAATTATCAGAGTCACCACTCCTGAAGAATTCAACCTGGTGAGGCTGGTAAGATCTCTAACAGACCTGAAAACTCACACATTCTACCATCTTCTATTTTTACAAAGTTGTTTGATGAATGAAATGTGAAGTTCCAGCAATCTGGCTCCATTTCTCCTACCCTTCAATGCTAGCTCAACTGGCTCAGTTGAGGTTAGCAGTCCAGTGCTTATCATACAGTGGCACTGCCAGATAAAGAGCTGGGCATCAAGGTCAGTTTCAACTACAAGGTTGGTGGTTCAAACTCCTTGGAGACCCTATACAAGGTTGCTATGAGTCGGAAATGGCTTGACGGTACTTAACAACAATATACATAAACACAAGAGAAATGGGAAGGCTTACAGAAGTAGAATAAACCCAACCCATTCCAGTAACAAAGCAAATTTGCACCCTGCTCCCTGGTGGAGACTATAATTATACGACTGAGTCTTCCCCTTTACTATCCCACATCCTCTGTCATTCTGAAATAATGTAAAATGCTAGGTGGCTTTTGATCCCACACATACAGAGTAAAAATCCTGGATTAAAAGAAATATTTGGGATTAATTCTTTATCCCTAATGGAATAAAAATTATTCCCCTACAACCATCTTCAGTGGAATGTCTGAGCTTAGGGGCCAAAAGACCTGGGCTGGAGTGTATCTAGCTGGACAACTCTTTTAACCTCTCTGAGCCATTTTCCTTATCAGTAGAGTGGAGAGTAATAAAGGTATTTGTCTCATTAAGATATTGCAGTGGCATAATGAGGTAATGCCCTGGTGTGTCACTGTAGGATAATGCATTGGACCACAAGGTCGGTGGTTCAAACTCACCAGCAGCTCCTCGGAACTCCTATACAGGTCACTTAAGACAACAATATATAATGTGCTTAACATAGCTTATGGAGTCCTGGTATGGTGCTGTGGGTTATTGCACCAGACTGCAAAGTCATTTGAACTGCAAAGTCAGTGGTTCAAGCTCACAAGTGGCTCCTTGGAAACCCTATACAGGGTCACTATGGGTCAGAACCGACTCGATGGAACTTAACAACAACTACATAGCTTATATAGTGAGTAATATTAGCAGTTTTCCTTGTTGTTGTTATCCAGCCATATGCCTCTGACACTCCTGTTTTCTGGTAATCAGAGGTTTGCATCCCCCTGGGCACTTCCTCACAAGCTAGTTCTGGATCAGGACTGGGGAGGTCTAATGCTTGAGTGAATCACACACATCTGGCCTCCTGTTTACAGGAGCCATAAGGCTTTGAGGCTAATACTAAATTGAAACAGCTGACAAGAATTTCATGCCCCACCAAAGAAATCTCCCATATGGGAAATGAGAAAGCAAGGGAGATGAGGTACATGGAGAAATAAAGGAAAGTTAGAAAACTAAAATGGGAAAACAGAACAAAATGGAGAAAAGAAAGAACAAAAATGAACTCTTTCCTCTGGAATGAGGGCAAACCAACGAAGACATGATTTCATAACACAAACTTTCAATTTGATTCCTTCCCTTGTTCACCAAGTTAGACTGGTTTGCCAACACCCCCCAACCCACAGTCTGGGCTTGTGGGGAATGGAAGAGCTTCATCATCTAGCTCTCAGCTCCACCCTTTAGTGCAGGGGGTTCTGTGCCTCTTCCCAGAGAGGAGGCAGGGGAGTTTGTGGTTGAGTGTTTACACAGACCAAAGAGCTCCAGCACTTAAACCAAGCCCTGTCCAGGAAGCACACCCTATCCTGGAAATGGGGAATTGTCTTTTGACTAAAGCACGGCTGGCTGCCCTATTCCTGTGCATGCCTTAGGGCTCAGAAAGGCTGAAAAGAGGGCTTCCGGAAACTTCGCTCCGGAAAGAACCAAGTTGTTTTCTAATTAGTTCTTGTTCATGACCGATTTCCTGCAGTCTGGTAGAACACACGGTTTAGTCTCCCAGACAGCCACAGGCCTGCCTCCACCAGGGACTAGGCCTGTTAATGGGATGATGGGGGGCAGAGTAGTAATGTTCTCTGGCTCAGTGGCGCCCTGCTAAGGCTCTTCCTGATTAGAGGACCTGGAAGCTTCTCCAAATGACTCTGCCTTTTCTTTGCTCCAAGCCAGTACAAACTGCTCATAAAACTATTCTTATTCCCCATTGCTCTTTTTTGTTTTTTAAAAACAACATCTACATGTATAATTCAGTGGCATTAATTACAATCTTCATGTTGTGCAATCATTATCCCTATCCTTTTCGAAGTTATTTCACCACCATTAACATGAACCCAATGCCCTCAAGGCAAATGCTCTCTCTTCCCCCTACCTCCCATCCCTAGTAACCAGTTTGTCATTTAATGACTGACTTATTTTATTTATTTATTGTTGTTGTTAAGTGCCAATGAGTCAGTTCCAACTAATAGGGTTTCCGAGGAGTGACAGGTAGGTTTGAACCACCAGCCTTGTGGTTTGCAGTCCAGTGCTTAGCCTACAGTGCCACACCAGGACTCCCTTATTTTACTTAGAATGATGTTTTCGAGGTTCATCCATGTTGTGGACTTTCCTCTTTATGACAGTAGTATTCTATTGTATGTATGTAGCACATTTTGTTTATCCATTTTATTTATCTGTTGATAGATATTTCAGTTGTTTCCATTTTTTGGCTATTATGAAAAGTGTTGTGATGAACATTGGTGTACTGGTTCCCCCTTTGCCTTTTGAGTCATCTTTCTCGGCCTTGATATACCCTTCCCAGCTACGGAAACCTGTAGGCTAGTTTGAGTTTGAAGAATTGTTTCCTTCTTATGACTGTGAGCAGGCCTGTCCACTAGTAGGAAGACCCTTACTAAGGTTGTTTTTAACTTCTACTTGGGGTAACAGTCAATCCTTAGAGCTTGGTTATCAGTGTCTCACCAAATCACGTGTGTTGTATTAAGGAAATGGGCCATATACAGTCCAGATTGATGGATGATTAAAAAGTTCCAGCAGCCATTGAAGAAAAGCAGCCATGGCTGTGTGCTACTCTATGTCCATTGACCTCAACAAGGGCCACAAAGTAACCAAGAACATGAACAAGCCGAGGCACAGCCGCCACCGTGGGCACCTCACCAAGTTTGTGTGGGACATGATCCGGGAGTTATATGGCTTTGCGCCTCACGAGCGCCGGGCCATGGAGCTGCTCAAGCTCTCCAAGGACAAGCGGGCACTCAAGTTCATCAAGAATAGGGTGGGGACACACATCCGAGCTAATAGGAAGCGAGAGCTCAGCAACGTCCTGGCCGCCATGAGGAAAGCAGCTGCCAAGAAGGACTGAGCAGGTCCCTGTCCACTGTGTCCCCCTTCCCCCACAAAAGAAAAACCTTTACAGAAAAAAAAAGTTCATTTTTTTTTTCAATAAAGAGTTCTAATGTTACCAGTGAGCCCCCCACCCCAACCCCCATGAGCTTACCTTCTATGCATTTGAGATGCTGAGGTTTGCCCACAATAGTTTTGCTGATTTACAAGACAAAATTGTTTCCATTAAATAGTAACCTGGCTTCTCACTCATGAAGTGCCTCAGGGAGAAAGTTGGGTGAGAGGAAGATAGGGAAGGACTTGAGTAAGAAATTGATACATCATTCTGATATTGTTTTCTTCATTCTAGGTTCAGGTTACTATCCAGATGAAAACTACAATGAAGTATATGCTGAAGAGGTCCCACGGGCTCCTGCCCTAGACTACCGAGGTAATCCTCATTGTTCCTTAGGCTCAGGAAGAGTCTTTTCTAAAGCATCCCTCATCCAGATTTGGCTCATTATTATTTGGCTCATTATTGTTAAGTGCTGTTGAGTCAGTTCTGACCCATAGCGACCCTGTATAAGGTTTCTGAGGGGTGGCTCGTGAACTTGAACCACTGACCTTGCAATTCAAATCTACTTTGCAGTCCAGCGAATTAATCCACAGAGCAACATCAGGACTCCGGCTTGGCTCATCGTAGAGTGCCAAAATTCCAGCTCAGGGAATCAGGGAATGTGACTTTTTCATTGCAAATTTGGTTACTGACTTGCAACGTGACTTCTCTCTAACCCTAAAATTGCTATTACTAGTCCTGGTGTGGCACTGTGGGTTAATGGCGCCAGACTGCAAAGCCATTTGAACTGCAAGGTCGGCAGTTCAAACTCACCAGCTGCTCCTCGGAAACCCTATACAGGGTAGCTATAGGTCGGAACCGACTCGACGGCACTTCACAACAACAACAACAGTAAATTAGTAAGAACCTACTGTATGCCTAATCCTGTGCTAAATAAGCCTGTGGATGATACAAAGTCTAAAATAGTATTGTCCTTTTCAAGGAGCTTACATTGTTGGGGGAGATGGAGTGAAAAAATAGCACATATGGGGTAAGTAAGTATGAAACTATGTGGTAGCAATAAATGCAATAGTGGTGGTGGTGGTGGTGGTGGGTGGTAGAGTTGGTTCCAACTCATAGCAACCCTGCACAGGGTTTCTGAGGCTGTAAAACTTTACAGGAGCAGAAAGCCTCATCTTTCTCCCACTGAATTGCTGGTAGTCTGACTCGTAACCACTATGCTACCAGAGCTCCTTAATAAATGTAATTAGTTGTTTTTGTTAAGTGCCACTGAGTCGGTTCCAACCCATAGCGACCCTGTATAGGGTTTCCAAGTTGCTGCTGGTGAACTTGACCCATCGGCCTTGTAGTTAAAACCGACTTTGCAGTCCAATGCATTAGTCCACAGCACCACAACAGGACTCCAATAAATGCACTGGTGGTGATGGTGGTTTTGTGCCGTGAAATCAGTTCCGACTCATAGAAACCATGTACAGGGTTTCCGAGGCTGTAAATCTTTTTTTTTTTTTTTTTTTTGGCAGTAAGAAACAGAAGTTTATTTTCTTATGGTTTAGGAGGCTAGAAGTCCGAATGCAGAGCACTGGATCTGGGGAAATGTCCTTGTCTCCTTTCAGCATCTGTAGGCCCAGCATTCCTTGGGGATTCCATGTGTCTTGGCTTCAGTCTTCCTCTAGATCTAGGGACTCCACAATGCAGGGTTCTGTGCACTTCACTGTTGGCTCTTCTACCTTGGTGGTACTTGGTCGCTCTTTCTCTATTCCTGTCTCTCTCGTTTTGTCTCTTGCAAGATAAAAGGTATTGTATGCCACACCCTTGGGAAATCTCCTGTAAATTGGATCAAGGTGTTGGTGTGATTAAGAGTGGTGAATCCCACCCTTAGTCCTCTTATTGGTTTATTTTTAAATGTTTTATTGTGAATTATGTGATAATTTACATGGGAGAACATTAGCTTTACATTCATCCTATCGTATATCGTTTCATTGCCATAGTTATGATCCCCTCCATGCATCATCAACCAACCCTGCAAGCCTGCCCTCCGACCCCACCCCTACCCCTGGGTTCACAGGAGTCTGTTGAACGTTGTAGGGCTTAGCTCACAGCTTCATTGCTGGTTTTCCCTCACTTCCCCTTATCGGTGAGGAACGTGGTAAACCAATAAGAGCGTGTATTCCCATTGAGTCTTAGTCTTGGAAGGGGGTTTGCTCTGAGGGGACTCGACCACTTGGCTTGATGTCTCCTGGGCGAGCAACTTGCTTGTTCTTGTAGTACTCAGTCAGACTGCTTTTATTGTTTTTATTTTTCCTGTCGGCCTTTCTTTCAAGAACTATCTTCTGTTCTTCTAGGGGCTGCAGGCTGGTCTGCTTGTCCTTTCAAATGGAAATTTCGCACCTCAGAAGATTCTGGATAGGGTTCAGGATTCCACCTATGGTCTTATGTAATGCAAAGGCTCTGCAGGAAGCCTCCTTCACTGGGCATGTTGTAGCCCCATTTTAGGTACTGGTAGCTTAGTGGTTACGAATCAGGCTGCGAACCACAAGGTCAGCAGTTCGAAACTACCAGCTGTTCCACGGGAGAAAGATGAGGCTTTCTGCTCCCGTAAAGATTTACAGCCTCAGAAACCCTGTACAAGGTTGCTATGAGTCGGGACCGACTCCACGGCACATAACAACAACAATAATCAATTATAGGCAGAAAACGGAGTTACAAGCTTTCTACGGTGGTATTTTTGGCTATTCCTTTCTCTCCCCCTCAAGTGTCTATTTTATAACGGTATGCCAGGGAAACCAAGATTCAAAAGACAGCCAAGCATCTTAACATTATTTCCCCCCTTTTGCACATTCCAACCATGTCTCAATCCCTGTATCCCAGAGCCCAGTTGTTCCAAGGTTGTGCATACATCATTATTTACCTTTGTCCCACTTAGCCCATGCAAACCTGCCTAATTGTTTTCCTGTCTGCTTTGTTCTTCCATTCCTCTCCCCCTTTTTGTGAACTGCCCCCTTCCCTAGCACCCAAACTATCCTGTATCTATTCTCAACCCTGTGCTCCAACTTCCCCTTCCTCCCCTCACCCTACCTTCCACATCCCAGCACCCAGCAAAGAATCCACCCCAGCCCACCCGCCTTTAGTATGGGTTCTTTTTCTTAGTCTTTTACAGTAGTGGTCCTATGCAGTATTTCTCCTTTTGTGACTGACTAATTTCACTCAACAAAATGTCCTCAAGGTTCATCCATGTTATGCAGTGGCTTGCAGCTTCCTTGTTATTCTTCAAGGTAGCATAATATTCCATTGTGTGTATGTACCACATTTTGTTTATTCATTCTTCCGTTGATGGGCACTTTTGGTTGTCTCCATCTTTTTGCTATTGTAAATAGTGCTGCTATGAACATTGGTGTGCATATATCTGCTCGTGTTATGGCTTGTATTTCTTGTGGGTAAATACCAAGTAGAGGAATTACTGGATCATAAAGTATTTCTATTCGCAACCTTCTAAGGAAGGTTTCCAGAAAGGTTGGACCATTTTGTACTCCCACCAGCAATGTAGGAGAGTTGCAGAGTCTCCACATCCTTGCCAGCATTTATTGTCCTCTATTTTTTTTTTTTTAGCTTTGCTGTTATTGTTGGTGTGAGATGATATTTCATTGTTGTTTTGATTTGCATCTCTCTAATGGCTAGTGATCATGAACATTTCTTCATATGTTTGTTGGCTACCTGGATCTCCTCCTTGGTGACGTGTCTGTTCATGTCCTGTGCCCATTTTTAAATTGGGTTATTTGTCTTTTTCTTGTAGAGGTGTTGTAGGTTACTATATATTTTAGAAATGAGTCCTTTGTCTGATGTGTTATTGCAAAAGATTTTTTCCCATTTTGTGGGTTCCCTTTTTACTCTTCTGGTGCTGTCTTTTGATGTACATAAGTTTTTAATTTTTAGTATGTCCCAATCATCTATTTTGTCTATTTTTGTTTGTGTAGTTTATAAAAATGTTTGGTAATCTATGTATTCCCTGAATTAGGTGCCCTCACATTTGACCCTATTTTTTCATTGATGGCTTTCATAATTCTGGGATTCACATTTAGGTCTTTAATCCATGCTGAGTTGGTTTTTATATAAGGCATGAGGTGAAGGTCTTGTTTCAATCTTTTGCATATCACTTTCCTGTTCTGCCAGCACCATCTGTTGAAGAGCTATCACTTCCCCATGCGATATATTTAGGTATTTTGTCAAAATTCAGTTGGCTGTATGTGGATGGGTTAATTTCCGGATTCTCGATTCTGTTCCATTGATCAGTGTATCTTTCATTGTACCAGTACCAAGCTGTTTTGACCACTGTAGCCATGTAATAAATTTTGAAGTCAGGGAGTGAGAGGTTTCCAACCTTATTCTTCTTCTTAAGCAGTGCTTTGTTTATCCTGGGTCTCTTTCCTTTCCACACAAAGTTTGTAATTGTTTTTTTCATCTCTTTGAAGAATACTGTTGGAATCTGGATTGGGATTGCATTATGTGTGTAAATTGCTTTGGGCAGTCTTGACATTTTCACAATGTTAAGTCTTCCTATCCAAGAGCATGGTATATTCTTCCATTTTTGTAGGTCTCTTTTGGTATAGAGGAATCCAACTGAGTTTTGTATGTTGATCTTATATCCTGCCACTTTGCTGAATCTTCCTATGTAGTCTAGTAGCTTTTTATATGAGTCTTTGGGGTTTTCTACCTATAGGATCATATCGTCTGCAAATAGAGAGAGTTTTACTTCCTCATTGCCAATTTGGATGCCTTTAATTTCCCTGTCTTGCTATATAGCTCTTTCTAAGATTTCCAGCCCAATATTGAATAAGAGTGGTGACAAAGGGCATCCTTGTCTGGTTTCTGTTTGCAGAGGGAAGGCTGTCAGTTTCTCTCCATTGAGAGTAATGTAGGTTGTTGGTTTTGTATATATGCTCTTAATTATGTTGAGGAATTTTCCTTCAATTCCTATTTTGTTGAGTGTTTTTATCAGGAATGGAAGTTGGATTTTGTCAAATGCCTTTTCTGCATTAATCGATATGATCATGTGGTTCTTTTCTTTTTTCTTGTTTACATGTGGATAACATTGATCATTTTTCTAATGTTGAACCATCCTTGCATCCCTGATATGAATCCCACTTGGTCATGATGTATTATCTTTTTGATGTGCTGCTGGAGTCTGTTGGCTAGGATTTTGTTGAGAATTTTTATACCTATGTTCATGAGGGATATTGGTCTATAGTTTTCTTTCTTAGTGATGTCCTTCCCTGGTTTTAGTATGAGGGTTATGCTTGCTTTATGAAATGTTTTAGGAAGTTTTCCATCCTCCTCTGTATTCTGGAATAATTTGAGTAGAACTGGTGATAGCTCTTCCC